GATATGTGGGATGAAACTTTAGTTTATGGCGGGCTGTACGGTGGTGAAAATCAGCAGCAGGTATCAATCCGAACAACTCATCAGAGAACTCTGCATGATACATTCGGTAGATGCACAGAGATGCAACACCTCTACGCAGTTTCAGTGAGTCAAGTAGAACAGTAAGTTTTAAATATTTGCAAATTATCCTTGTGAGCAGCTAGCCTCAGGACGCGCACTTTTTTGGACATATTACATTCATTCAATAATTCAATAAGTACCTATTTACATTTTCGCCAAAAAACAGTAGTTTTTTCTATCGTGAATATTATATAATCAATACACACTAATCAACGTCAAAAACATGTTAATTTAATCTAACGTGTCCATATTCAATGCAACTCAATGAGACAATGAAACTTTCGTAGACATATCACATTGAAAATATTTGAATTTCAAACACGGAATAGTGTATCTAAAAGTAGACTTTAATTTGTCAACTCTTCTGCTTCATAAAAAAAACCAGAACATTCAATCGAAACAAAATGAATATAGGAATGCGACCAACATGAGAGAAAACTCTATCAATTGCAAAAAGAATTTCACAATTTGTTCAGAATTGGACGACATAACAAAAAAAGAGAAGAATTGGAAACCTTTTTTAGGGTCCACACCAGAATCATAATAGGATTGAGTAAAGTTAGATATTGTTAATTTATTAATATTTAAGTATATACCTGAGATTTGCTCAATACATTTATCAGGTACTTAATAATTAATTAATATAATAATAATTAATTAAATTAATTGTTATAACTAAGTAAACCTGGAGAGATCGAATTAGTAATGAGGAAGTCCTACTTAGGGATAAGGAAAAGAGACAAATTGTAAGAACTATTGAGGAGGACGTAATGACAAAGATCGAAAAGAGAATGTTTGCATTGGTTTGACCATATGGAGAGGATGGATAAAAAAAGAATTACAAAAGATTTTTATCGAGAATTAATAAATGAAGATGTCCGCAGGGGCGATCCTAGATGGACGTATATCGACCAAATAGGCCACGTGCTGAAGAAGGGCCAAATTAAAAGTATCTAAAACCGGGTTTTCGAAAAAATTTATGAATGTGGACGGAACGAAAGAGGTATGTTTAAATTTAAGCATTTGGCGTTCCATTGTTTCTGCCTATCCCAACGAGAGACCGGTGTGACAGATATAAATATATATAGTATGAAGTACTTGAATGAGAACGACCTAGTTTCAACAGTAACCGCAGTGACCAATGAAAATGAGAAATATAAAACATATTTATTACAGCAAAATTTTGTATAATTTAAATAACTATAATACGTGTTAAATAGGGGTCCGCGGTAAAATGTGCAACATTATGTATCTAAGTGCCGACGAATCAGATATCTATACAGTCAGGTAAAGAAATAGTTTATAATAAACTAGCTTTTTGCCCGCTACTTTGTACGCATGGATTTCAGAAGGCAAATCAATGAAATAGCCCACTCAAGATAAAACATAGACAAGATTTGAAGTTAAGCCTTCAGAAAACCGAATTCAACTTGGTGCAGTAGATTTAGCATGATGTCGGAATAAACATACAGATACATAGACAAAATTTGTAAATATTATTAATTTAATATCTATTGGTCTTTATAAGGCTTCTCATAAATATTTATTCGATACAGAGATCATCTAGTTACAATATTATTATATTAGTTTATTATATTTATGTCTGTAGGCAAATCTATTTAAATCATAATCGATGCAAATTTATAACAGAATTAATTTCCTACGCAGGCCGAGATCTACTTAAACAAACGACGATGCATAAAATTATTTTAAAAGCTTCACTTAAAAACACGATATTTACGCACTAAGCTCGTTTCAAAAACTAGTTTCAAACGGAAATATTAAATAATCATGAGTTTATGATTTGTTAACAAATTAATGGTTCACGAAGAGATGTGTTATTGTGTTGTTTCCCCAGTCGACTAATATTTGTAAATATTTGAGCAAAGCACGGAAGCAAGCAGCAGATATTAACACATTTTTATTCGTCAAGGGAATATGATGACAATAAGTATAGGTACTTATTTATGAACCAACATAATTTCTACCTATGTTATCCGATTACGTACCAATTCTAAACAGATTTTCACAATTTTTTTTTGATAATCCAACCCACTACAATCTATCCTAAGGGTTGATTCTCATTTTAGTACCATATTAATTGTGTAAGGATTATAACTGTCATTTTCCTCTGCGAAGCAAAAAAAAAACTGTCAGGGAAAAAAAAACTTGTCAAGTGAAAAAAAATTTTCTGATGGTAAACATATATTTCATCGTTCAACAGTGTGTAAATGCGCGTGCGTGTGCGTACGCGTGCATTGCGTGCGTGTGCGTGTGCGTATTTGCAAATTAGAGTATGTTCGCGCGGGTGTAAAGCATGATTTACAAAATTTAATTTGTAAATAATGCCTTATTAAGGGATATACCTACAGCACTAATATATAATAGGTATTCAGTATTTCTGCTAGTATCACAAAACATTATAATATTATGTGTACAGTGTATAACTTAGTAAAATATTATTATTTAAAAAGTATTATTTATTATTATTATTTATAATTATTTTGTCATGTTTTGTAGATTTGTCAAAATTATGTACTACTCCTCTCCATCCTAATATTGCCTCGAAGAGAAAGCTTTTAGCGTTAACGCCGTCCGTTGTTTTCTGAATATGAGTCCATTTGTTGTAATGGAAATAATAAACAGTATCTAAGTATCTATCTATATTTAATTAATTTTTAATAGTGTTAAAATACAGATTAATTAAGGAATTTATATTTGTAGTCTATTTATTTTCTACAAGTTGTTAAGCATTTGGCGTTCCATTGTTTCTGCCTACCCTAATGAGAGACAGGTGTGACAGAAATGTATATATTATGTATGTATGTATTAAAGTTCCAGTTATAATTATCTTAATACATACACCACAATGTGGGTGGGAAGGTTAATAGCCCACCAAAAGGCACTTAAATTACATTATTGTACTTATTATATTATCTAGGCTCTGTTTGTGTTAAAGCCTAACATAAAATTATGTTTGATATTAATGATAAAAGTCCATTAGATGAAAATGGTTCCATGAAATATAGTAGCAATCTTAGGTCACTTTCTTACATTACTATTCTCTATTCCTAGTGGAATAAGTATTATTATTCTTCAGGCCTTTTATTCAGGATACTCAATCTAGTCATCTCATCTGGTACTCCACACTTATTCATATTCTTATACCTTTTTTCCTAACACTGGTTAAGATGTATCATTATGAAAGGTAAAAAAAATTAATACATGTAAATTTTTAAGGTAGAAGTATAAACTAGGAGCCACAGCTAGTAAAAAAATAACGGGACAATACCAAACTGCCATATTTTCAAGATTGCAAAGGAGAACTAAATGTAAAAGTTATTTTTAAAACTATCATTTACATTATCACTATTATATTATTTACACTATTTACATTATTACATCACTAAATATTTTATATAAGATTACAACTAAATCAATAATGAATCTCTTTATACATTTTTAATATATTTTTTGTTTGTAATAGGTGTTATTACTTATGGATGACACAGTGAGTTGTTTAATAATTTATTCAGGAAATGTATTCAATTTATTTATTGCATTCTACAATATTATTATGAAAGATCTTAATAATGAATAAATTACTAATGTATATTTATAATAAGAATAGCATCTATGATTATAAGAACAAAATTGGAATATAATAATTCACACAATATGGAGAAGCATTATATTAAAATACTTAGCTATCAAAAATAAACTTGTTTGTTATGTCATGCATGAAATTCTCTATAAGTACATTTAAATAAGTAATAACATTTAAGAGGATTGTGAAAATACTAAACTGCTGTTCTATATGTTCCCATAAATGCCCTATGGGACAGATAGAGAGAACTTATTTTCTAAATATTATTATTCGCTAAATAACTTTATTCTTCTTTAATATTATTATAATAAATTTTCTAAGTTATTTATTACTAAATAACAATCCATTTAATAACAGATGTAAATTTATAATTTTGTGACACATATAAATTATTGTTTTTTTATTTTACCCCCAATTAAAGGTGAATTAAAAAAAAATCTATGATATATATGACTATTATTTAATTATAGATTTATTCAGAATCTATTTTATAATTATAAACAAGTGCTGAGTAAGCCTTATGGTTGTGATAGACTATCATACTAGATCTAAGCCATAGGCATTTTTTCTACATTTGGCATATTAAATTTAGCAAACTTTTTATTAATATAATAGAGCATAATATTAATAAAAATTAGAATAAAAACATTTTTGTATTAATTAATTTTGTCTATATTATATTGATGAGTTTGCATACAATTTAATACTTTCAAAGTTACTGATGCAAAGAATTAATGAGCCACATGCTAATTTGCCTTATTTATTATAATATATATATATATATATATATATATATCTATTAATCTTTGCAATATAAAAGATCAATTTTAAAGTTTATTTGCTTATTTCATTCACTGGCCACATTGTTCAATGACCTATCAGTTAATTTAGAAATTTGGTCAGTGGGTATCCTTAAAACACAACATTAAAACGAATTAAAAAATGTTATTGCTCACTTTAAAAGTACTTATCTGCAGATTATTTTAAACCATAGTAATTAAATTGTCTTTGGTTTAAGACAGTTTAGGTACAGGTAGTACGAATGGGTTATGTCTACTAAGATGTGAACTTTTAACAAGTATGATTGTAGCAAGAAAAATTTTTTAAATCCCACAAAATACGAGCGTATTATTACCGTGCGAAGGTAGACAATACAAGTATAGCCTAGCAGATAAGTACAACATAAAAACAATGCCGCACTTAGTAAAAATAGACAAGATAAAGTTGTAAGTTTATATTTATAAATTTATAAAGATGAATAGTCACTACTTACAGCTGGATTTTAGCAGATCAACGATGTCTCCAGGTTATTTTATTTATCACTAGAAGTCCACCATTGAACACATAGCATTGTACTGAGCGATGTACGAAAATATAGTAGCTAAGTGAAATACCGAACTGATTACCCACAGCAGACGTGTTATAGCTTTGTATGATATTTAAAAAAGATATGAAAGCTACACTAAGTATTTAAGAAAAACTATACGACAGGATTAAGTGTCACTTAAAAAGGTCCCTACAGTGCCGATTTCAAGTGCAATAAGTATATTCTACACCCCAGAACACACCACCATTATTGCGCACGCAGTCAATTGAGAAAAAGAAGTATTTGCCCGTTGTTCGTGTTGCTAACGATAGATGCTCAAATAACAACATTCACTATTCTGAAACTGTTAATCGATTACTTTTGGAACAATGAACCCTTAAACAATTACAATAGGTTCTGTAAAATTATTTTGACAGCTTCTTATCAAATAGCGGTGCAAATACTTCAAAGAGGCACAAACATATTGCAGTACCTTGGTGGAATAACAGGTGTGCGACAGCTGTCAATGATAGTAAAGCGGCTTACCTTAGGTTTAAACAAAATCAACTCTCGATAATTACATAAATTTTAAAAGAGTTCAAGCTGTTAAAAAGTTAATTAAGCAAGTAAGACAACAGGGGTGGCAGGAATTTGTTCATGTTCGTGTTGCTGAAATATCCAGTGCAGTAAAATCTAGAAAAGATACAGCTAGTGGCCTTGATCGCTTAACATACAATATGTTTCGATTGCTGAATAAAATAAACCTTACTAAACTCTTACAAATTTTTAACGATTTATGGAAGGACTGTATTATCCCACCAGAATGGAAAATGGATTGTTTGATTCCAGTAATTAAACCCGGTAAAGATCCTACAAATTTCGACTCCTATAGACCTATAACATTGACGTCCTGTGCAACGATAGATGCTCACTTCACTTCACTCATTCAACTCAAACTCAGTCCACAATCCGTCCAATACACAACGCATTTAATGCTAAAAAATGCTGTCACTGTCTCTGTGACATATGACTAGTCTACGCCTTCATCTATGCCTAAGAATAAGGAATAATAAATCTTTAATCTATGCATTTTTCGTTGATATGTATCAAAGTTGCTATTGTCGATAAAAAAAAAAACAAGTATTAATTTTTAAATAACGGTTAGTAATGATTTACTAGGACTTTGAAGTAATACAAAAATTGCATGATATTTGCTTAATGTTCATTTTTTTTAACATATTTTGTATACGATACAAAAGTGATTAAAAAGCTAGCTGTAGCGCTATTTCTGAAAAGTAATTTAGGAAATAAAACTGTTATTATTAAGTAATTTTATCTTTATTAAATAGCATATGGCGCCGATTTTCGAAAAAAATATATATTTAATCCTTAGATTATGAAGTATACCCTTAAATATATTATACTGTCGATTATTTAACCTATTTAGCAAATAAGAATAATGCTACGTAATAATCTTTTCTTTTTACAATTAGATATTATATTATTCGCGAACTGTCAAGGGTTCAGTATAATCTGTTTACATTTCAGAATATCCAATAAAAAAACATAATGTCAAATTAAAATTGAAACTGACGTGTGTTTATTGTCTAAGAATTTCATAAATATTATCTTATATTAATAAATTGTTTATGTTGCTTACGAAAACCAATAATGTCGGGCTCTGAGAGACTCTCACAAAATGGACAATTGTCTGAAGGTATACCGGAGAGGGGTGGTCAAGGCGATGCACCGCCAACTGTGTCCGAACGGGAAGCATATTTCCAAGCACTTCGATTGTGGATACAGCAAGCGCAAATGTACCAGAATCTATCTACATGTTTCCCTTACTACATGATGACCTTCCAGGGTTTACAGAACAACCCCACAAATGTGCCATTATTAAATAATAACTACCAGTTCCAAGGGCAACAGTTTCCTTTTCAAGTGCCAAATCCAGTAAGGAACGTACCAGATGCTCAACCTCCGCCAGAGTCTGCAACTCCAGCAGATGGTAAGATATTAATAAATAATTTGATTAAATTTTAATATTCCTGTTCAAGTATCCAAGTACTATTGATGTCACAGTATTTCAATTTACTAAATTGTTAGATTTGTATGTTTCTATGAATCTGTGTTATAATCTGAAAGATATTTAGAGCCGTCTTAAAAAAAAATTATTAATAGATACATTTCTGTTAGTGTTTGTATGAGAATGTATGAAGCTCTTGACATTGTCATCTCATTAAATCTCATGAACTTGTTAGCTAAAATGATTCTAACAATATATACATCTGCACCTTGTATTATATATAGACTAGATTGATAAAAAAAATGCAAGGCATATAATTTATTGATAAGCACTTGTACCATTCATTTTAAATTTGAAATGTGATTAACAATGTGATATATTAAGATGAAAAAAATACATTTAGTAATATATTTTACCTAGCTATTTGTATTATTTGTATATTTTTAGTGATTGCTCACCATGGAGGCTATGAGTATGTAATACCACCACTGTACAAGAGATTGACAGCCGAATTTATTGATTTTATGCTTTTATTTATATTGAAACTCATTGTTACATTTATAGCAGTGGATATGTTTGAACTGATGTAAGTAATAAAATATTAATATTTATTTTAAACTTACAAACTACATATAATTAGCTATTAAATACTGGAACACACTCCCGCTTCATATAAAATCTACTAGCTATAAGCAAGCTAGCTTTTAAACACAAATTGCACACCTATTTCTTAGAAAAATCAGTATCCCTTTAAGCTTCTGCTGGTTACTCTGTTAGTCATAGATTACTATTTGTTCTTCTATTGCAGTTGTTTTATTTAATTGTTTTATATAGTAATATTTTATGTATTTATTTATGTATGTATATATTTATTTATGTAATATATTATTTATATTATATGAATTTATCAAATATTGCTTTATTTTTTTCTCTATTCTAAAATTCACTGTCTACATATTTCTTGGTTTGTTCAATAGTTGACTGGTAGAGAACACCATCTGGTGTGAAGTCTGCCAAATGTACATAGGATTTTACTACGCATTAAAATTTAAATAAATAAATAAATAATTTTGTATTAATTTGTATGTATATGATTTTAAAATTTATGTGAACAGAAAATTTATAATTTATTTATATTGCAAACTATACAAACTATAGAAAATTACCTAAATGTATACATATTATGTGTATGAAAAAAGAAAAAATATGAGGATACATGTATGTACCCATTTATTTAATAAGTAGTCCTATAATAGAAAGGGATTAATACTATACTGTTTAATATATATTTTTTATTGTATAAGATATTTATAGAGACTTTGCATGTAGATATATAAATAATTCCTTTTTGTTTCAGTGACCTAGACAAGTTTGATTTTTACAAATTTAGTGAGCATTATGATGACTACAAATATGCTATGGAACTTACTTCGGAAATATTATTTTTAGAAATTATCTACAGGGTATTGGTGTGCATATTCGAGGTAATGATGTTGTATTCATTTTATATTGAAACAGCCCTTAATGTACAATTGGTGTAATACTTAACAATGGAGGCCAAATCCGATGTACCATTTGTCTAGACCAATCTTTTGTCCTAATATTTTAATTTGATAATTTCCTAATGTTGCTGTTTTAGACCATTATAAATTAAAATTATAATAACTGTGGCAAATATAATAGAAAATTCTTTCATATTGGTCCTTCTAGTAAAGATTTCATTGTGATAATAAATTTTAACTTTAGAGAATAATTAAGAGAAATGGTGCTGCAAAATTGACACCATTAATATTTTAACTCATTGCGACATATAATTGTGTTCCTTTTTATTGGAATTTTGCTCTTTGTGCTACCATTTGTCAAAGTTCTTGCATTATCTAGTTTTTTATAATTTTTTAATAAATTACTTTCTTAAAAAGAAATAAAATATAGCTATATGATTTTTCATTTACAAAAGAAACATTTAAGTAGAAAGCAGATTTGTTTTGTTTTTAATTCTTTAACAGCAAAATAATAATTTTAAGAACCATGAATGTTATTCTATTCTGTTCCTATTTTAATATAATATGACTAACAAATTATTCAATTAATCTTACATTTGTTTATTGCAGGCTTTCTGTCTATGTGGGAGTGTAGGACGCACAGGTGGTGCCACACCAGGAAAAGCTCTTCTTGGCCTCCGTGTAGTGACAGCATCAGCTGTGATTCTGGTCGAAGGACGTGATAAGGAAACAGTACTGCTATATCCGGGAAAACCACTCAGTTTTGGAATAGCATTAATTAGGTCCATAATGAAGAATTTTCTAATTTCTCTACTGTTCCCCCTGTGCGTTATACTATTTGTGTTCCGTCATAATCGCACAGGATATGATTTGCTGTGTGGTGTTATCGTTGTTGAAGAGAACATGTACCCACCCAGAAGACATGCACCATAATTTCTGATATTTTTGTTTATGTTTCAACTTTATAAATTGGATAGAGACAGACATCTCTATGCAATTTACATGAATTTGTGTGCCTTCAAATGTAAAATATTTATTTTGTGAGTTCTCTTAATGTATCTATACTTTATATTTAATTATAAAGAGGATTTGATTGTTTATAATGGATAAACTCAAAAACTAACAAATTTTCAACATTCTTTCACCCATAGAAAGGTACATTGTCAGTGTGTAACATAGGCATATACTGATCACCAGGTGGCATTTCTTTAAACTTAATTTTTAACCTAATAAGTTAATTTTTTTAATTCATTTGCACAATTACTGTTTTACAGACCATCATATCCTAAAATTATAATTATGTACATTTAAATTTATTAGAAAATTAGTTCATATTGGTCCTTAAAATAAAGATAAAAAAAGTTTAGAGAAATACCACATTAGATTCGACACAGTTATTTTCGAAAAATCAATCCACCTTTGTGAATACTAATCGAATCCCTAGTTGTTTATATATTTTCAAACTTCACATTTATAAAAAGTTTTGATATATATAAACATGTTCCATAACAACGATGTAAAGTACCCTTGGAAGTTTCTAATTATTTTTACTTTTTGCATTGGTATGTAGAATATAGTTTTTTTTTTATTTATTGATAGGTATATAGATTTTTTATAATGTTCAAGGATATTTCACTATGTTGTAAATAATACATAGAATATATGTACTGACTGATAGTGACGACGTAACGTCTGGAGTTGTTTTCTATTGAACATAATAAAGCTTAAACAGAAAACAATAGAATAATTTTCAATAGAAATAATTTGGTCATTAGACAGCTGTATATATTATTACATCTATTGGTCGGATTGCATTGCTTTTTGTATTGTTAATTGTGGTTTATATATATTCAATATTTTATAGAATGTGTGTGTCACTATTTCAAACTAAATTAAATAGATAGTTATAAACATTGCACAAATTGCATCAACAATGATAACCCCTTCGATATATGACCCCATCATTGTAAACAATTTTAATTCTGTATTTCCATAATTTTCCAGTATCATATGAATCTGATTAAATGATGGGAAACAAATAAATGTAAAAGATATCACTGAGTTATGACTATTTTGTGTTACTATTTGCTTTTTTTTTATATATTATTATATGTATTCTTTTATCTCTTTTTATTTTGTATATTGTTATTTGTGTGCTGTAAGTAATGTAAATAAATTATCTATCTATCTATATATATATCTGATTATAATAAGATAGATCTGTCATGTCTAGAATCAATATTATTTTATGAAGGTATTTTCAATATTTATTGATCAATTTTAAATCTGGAAACTGATACATGATACGTATCTTTTGAAAAAGTATGTCATATAAATCTAAGATGGGGGTCTTATCTGTATAAGCATGGGCTATGGTTAATTTCATATGAACCAGTAGTGTTGTTTATATTTTGTAACAGCCATTGTTAATTTCATTGTTACTATATACATATATATTTAGGTTAATAACCTTTGTCGTAATATTGAATCTGACATAAGTAAGTGTAATTTCTACACATTTGTACATAAACATTGAATATTAAACTCAAAGATCTCAGCTCCAATTTTGTTTAAATATTCAATGACACAGCAAGACTTCTTTTAAATTGATTTTAAAAGTAAATCAAACCATTTCCGTAAATAGCTACTCAACTCTAATATTATCTTTCGAAAATAACATCACTTTTTTTTACTACTCTTATCAATTTATGTTTAATTATATAAATATCAACATTTTATAATCTTTCATATTTTTATAATATTCTATTTATCAATAAGATTATCAGTAAATGTATGAATTGTTTTGCTGGATGAAATATTTTGGCTTTAAAAGAAATGTAGGTCTTTTTAAAGAAACAGACAAATGTTATTTGTGATATTGTTAATGGTTATTGTTTTGTCAATATATTAAATAAGTTTGAAAGTACTTATTGTGTCATTTTATTGACAGTTTAGTAGTTTCTATTTTATTTTAAACAAGGTTGTTCTCGCCAAATACTTTTCTTGGGTATGCCTTTGGAGTTAAAAAAAAATGAATATAATAAAAAAAATAGGACGCCTGTTAAAAATGACCTTTTACATAACATCATTTAGTCCCAAACTAAGTAATGCTTTTACTAAGAGTACTTGCTAGATATAACTAATGACTTGTAGAAATGCCAAAATATCCAGACAAATTTTAACAGACACACTCATGCATACTTAGAAATATATTAACTGTCTTAGGATTGAACACGCAATTTTTATCAGACGGCGAGGCAATGAAATTAACCCCTATATCATCAAGGTCGTCAGTTTGATTTTTTTATATTAATAATTCCTTTAAAATTACAGGCTAAGTTCGTCTGTTGCATATTTTTAAAATTGCGCCAAAAGAGTTTTGTTGGGCATTAGGCATATCCGGTTTGCACGTAGATTATTGACAAATATTGTAACGTTTGTCTATGGTATGAAAGTGACAGCTTGAAATTGCGTTCGGAAATTTGATTCGAATGTCATTCACCTTTCAGTACCCAATTATCGACTATAAAATGTATGTTATTGTGAAATTGAAATGCTGAATTTTACCTTCTCTCTATTAAAAACATAATATGAATATTTTGTTATATTTACCATTTATTATTTATTAATTTTATTGCCAAAAAATTGTGATGAGTTGGCTTGTGCGTCGCGCCGTCAGTCTGCCGTAACGTGGCGGCGCTGCGCTCGTGTGTGTGCTGCAGGAGTGGCTTTGAACTGTCATTGTTCATGTAGTTTTCTGTGATAAGAATTTTATTGTGAAATTATAGTTTAGCGAACTAATTTATACATTTACGATGTCGGCGTCGGGTGAATTTGGTAATCCTTTACGCAAGTTCAAGCTTGTTTTCCTTGGGGAACAGAGCGGTAAGTCCTCAGCAAATTATATCCCCTTGTCGTACATTTTTAATATATAGTTTTGAATTTACGATATGTAAGTATAGATCAGTCTAGACTTTATCGAATTACTGACCTACATTGGCCCGGGAGGCGAAAAGTGTCGTATTGGGGGTTATAGCATTGTTTTGTTGCAATCATAATGTCTAAGAAGAATTACTCTAACTGGGATGTAGGTTACACTCTCTATGTAGGTACATTATAGGCGATGAATCGTCTATAAAGAATTCTCACGCATCATACAGTTTCTGCCCCGTTATAAATTGTTTTTGTGTTCGGTTTTTAGGCAGCATGATTGGAAAATGAATTGACATACATCTTTCTTGTTTTTCAGTGGGAAAAACTTCGCTCATCACTAGGTTCATGTATGATAGTTTTGACAACACTTATCAGGTGAGTCAGTGATCTCTGTTATTTAAAAATGGGTCCAAATAACAGGTCTTGTTGGATTCCATTTGGTTTAGTGTCAGTAGGCCTATTATATCATGGTTAGTCATCAGAACTCATTAGCATATTATATTATGCATTTGATCAAGAGATAGTGATGATATAATATAACATTGTGAATAGTATTATACTAAATAACTTTGATTACTCTATTAGTATTTAGCACATAGATAGAAAAATATGCACTTTTTTAATAATGTGCTAGTAAATATTTGTATGAAATGTAATTAGATTTGTGCTAATTGTTCTGTCAACATTATAACATTTTAAATGATAAATATATTTTATGTAGGAAAAATAATGTTATTATTTAGTGTCTAAATTTTTTAAAACAATATATAGGACTTGTAAAATTAATGATAAAGAACAAGAAGAATTTTTTTTTTTTTATTTTAAAATGAATATAAATGTTTCCTCCAATAAAATGCTATAAGATTATTTGATATATAATATCATTTAATATTAGGATGTGTCAATGAATGTATCAATTTGTAATACTCTAGCTGTGTTAAAAAACAATAAATTGATTTTTTAATACTAGTTTCTATTCAACAGTTACTCTTTTCAATATACTTAAGTATAAAGTAATTTTACATTTGTATGGGTACTATTATTTATATATTATTCAGTGTGAAATTTCACAATTGTTTTATAAACAGTAAACATGCTATCTTATTTATTTACATACCTTCAAATAGGGGAAAGAAATTTATAGTATTGGGGTCTAACAACCTTACTAGCGAAAAAACCTTTAATCTCAACCTCCACATGGTTCCTCCTGAAAACCATCTTAGTTAAGTCTTTTAAATTCATCATGATGGGCTAACTGACTAGCTTTCATCATCATTTATCATCTCTCACTAATATATACTAATATATGTATATCAATAGAACAGGCAGGGTTACCATACCATTATCACTTATTAAAGAAAATACCCTCAAATAGTTAAAACAAAAAATGTCTTCATATGTCTGTATTTCTGCTTCTTTTAAATTATATACTGTATTTTGATACAGATTTCACTGTCATTTAGATATTTTTTACATATGTATAACACATTCTAATTATACTTTTATAAATAATTAATTTAACTTGTATGAAATCCAGTCTTTAGTATAATATAAAAATCTAATACTGTTTTTTTTGTGATCTTTAGGCAACAATTGGTATTGATTTCCTGTCGAAAACCATGTACCTGGAGGACCGCACGGTGAGGCTGCAACTGTGGGACACGGCAGGACAGGAACGGTTCCGGTCTCTTATACCTTCTTACATCAGAGATTCTACAGTCGCTGTTGTTGTCTATGACATTACCAGTGAGTAATTTCTTGTATATTGAGCTTTATTTGCTAAAGGAGAAGATTCTTGATTCACTTGTATATTTTTTGTGTGTATTTTGTTTTTATTCAACATAGAATGGTATGTAAGTTGAAAGCCAGTAAGAAAGTGGTAACTACCACCTATAGAAAACAGTACCATGGACAGCACAGAATGTACTGTGGCACTTGTGATAGTCTTCATGCATTGTTATCTCTTAGGACTATGCTAATATGCCTTTGTACTTTGTAATTATATATTTTTCTATTGCAGTATCTTTATCAATTTTGAACAAATTTTTATAATCCCTAATCAATTCAAATTGAAAATCTCTTTTCTTTTGATATTCATTAATAGAAAATATAAGAATTGGTTATATATTTAAATAACTTGTGTTACTATACACAATAAATAAAATAAATACTGATAGAATCTGCAAATAAATGTTGCCCTCTAAAAACTAGCTTATATCTCATGTGAAATAATACATACAAAATTTCATTAAAATTGGTTTAATGGTTTCGTAGATTCACTTGAAGGAAGATTGTATCATGAGATTTTTATATATATTAAGATGTATATAGATAGTGTAATTAATTTCGTAGTCTCTGAAATGATATATAAACCAATTTAACCTCAGTCAAACTGTCATATTAGTTTAAATATAAAAGAAGCACCTATGAAATATTTTTTTAATTAGGAAAATGAATATTATTTTGACGCAATTCAAACATTAGATCTCACTAATTGCCAAATTACGCGGTGGCTGCGGAATCTCACTATATCACACTCGTAAATGTGAAAGTTTATAAAGATGTTTGTTATTCAGTTCTCGCGTTCACGGCTGAATGGATTAGGATAAAGTTTGGAACTCTGATAGACCATGTCATTGGTATATACTTACTTAGAATATTTATTTCCTCGTAAACTGTGGGTATAAAATTGATTATAGAAATAAACATCTTTTATATGCTTTTTTTTTAATTTAGTTATATTTATGTTATTCGATTACGTCGATAATTTTGATTAGAACCGTATTTGATAATTGTTTTTACAATCTATAGGTTTTACTTACGTGTTGGTCCCATATTAGCCTTTTACACTCCAGCCTAATGACTCATACACGATACCAATAACTCATTATCTTATCAATAATTTATTATAATGTAAACATAATAAACTTATTATGAACACTATAAGATAAACAGACGATTTCGCTTACCCTAAGTGTTAAGGGCGCCGAGTCAGTAAAACAACCGTGTGTATAGTGAATTTAATGTTAGCATTTTAAAGTCGTAAATACGGCGACAACGGAGTGCAAAGGGTTAGTTTTGTGACGATTGTAACCACAGTTTTTTATTGTGGAACAAAATCATGCTCTGCCATCAAATCATCAATTGGTGCGTTTATTTTATTTATTTTTTATTTATTTTAAAAATTTGATGAACTATAATATATTCATTTAATTTATATCGCAGAATCGTGTATGAACAAATAGATTGTACTTCACAAAAAAAAGGCAGTATTAAAAAGAATAGTGTAATTACTAGTCAATACTTATTTTTTTATTAACTGCCCGTATCCCGCGTGAATCACTATATTATGTGCTAAGTCAAACAGCATCCCAGACATGTTTTATTATAAGAACTGACAAACAAAACTCGAATGTAGAGTACTACTGATATAATTAAACTTGTTGTATCCGGCGGCTTCATCTGCGTAAATCGGTAGGTATATACAGTGTTCTATGTGCTAAGTTAGTGTATATCCTACCAAATGTGTCAAATTTCATTCAAATCCGTTCAGTAGTTTTTGCTTGAAAAATATTTTTTTTGTTTTTTATATCCATTCATCCTTTAAACATATTAATATTTTTTTTTAATGGATGATAATAGAATGGTAACTCCGCCTGCGCTATAGGTGACTACCAGCGAAGGTTGATAAGTAAGAATAAAAGTAATAAAAGACACTTAAAACGTCAGGTCAGTTTTTTTTAATTGATGGTAATGAAATGGTAACCCTGCCTGCGCTATTGGTATACGTTGGCGGGGCACCCGTGAAGGAAGATACGTGAGGATGAAAGCAGATCCGTTAGCTCATCGTGACGAATTTCACTAGAATTAACCACGATAGTTTCCAGGGGGAACCGCGGGGAGGTCGACTTGATAGGGTGCACTGCTAGTATTAGGGAAATTACCAGAGGGAGACTTTGTACAAAAGTCGATTGTTTGGGTACCTCTGTCCCATTCGTGTTCCAACCGTAAAGCAGTGATGTCAAAACTGCTCATGTGCGACGGTTACCACTTTCCATCAGGTGGGCCGTCAGCTTGTTTGCCATTCTTAATTGAATAAAAAATAAAATTAGACCCCATTACTAACAATTCCTTTCCCCGCGGGCAGGTTAGTTAGCCTATCATGATAAATACACCTGGAATTCAGCACGATAGTTTCCATGGGGAGGTGGACTTGATAGTGTATATTGTTAGTAAAGGGACTGGTAGTCCGCATTACTATCAATCCCTTCCCCCCAATAGGATCATGATTGAAGATATTGTTTTTGAATAGTGTCACACTCTTCACACCAATTGATTGGTTCCCGAATATTCATTTATGAAATATCAGACGTCGAACACTTGAGAGCATAAGTCAGTACACCTAATACAGATTTATTCATACTTCAGATAAGTTTATTTCCTATATATTCGTGAGAAATGAAACCGGCAGCTTTTATACGCAAAGTAACGTCCCTAATATCATGTCTACCACTTTACGTCAATAAATATTTCTCGTATACGAGTATTATTATACAAGTATAGAATATTGATCCTTTTAACTCACTTGCTGTTTATCTCCGTTCGTCACATGGAATTTCTAAGAATCTATTCTAAATGGATGCTTTTACACCCAATAAGGTTATAATGAATGAATTAACATTACCTGAAATTAACTCTACATTTTCGGTAATGGAAGTTGTGTGGGCGAAAAACTATAAGTCCAAGGGTCAGCAGCGAGGGCGGTTAACAACGACTTTCCTAGACCGGTATGCCGTTCGCAACAACTTAAATAAATCGTACCTCTTTGATGTGCTGGTTCACCTGCCTCCTGGGATTGCTGTCTTTCTCCACGGCGCAGCTAAGGATCCTCACGGGCTCCGGAGCACGCACAAATGTTGTATTTGAATAGGGTGGCGTAATGTCGGGTACTTCACACGTCCATGACACACATATCAGTTTTTTCATTAATAGAAATTTAGTCTTATTATGAAATATATATAAACAAGTTGCACACAAAACCACGTCGTCGCAAACTATGAATTTCACTTTATATGTCTTTTATTATAAAATAAATACATAAAAATAGAGCGTAACCCGTCATCACTTTTCGCGCCAACGCCATATTGCTTTTTTTTTTTTTTTTTTTTTTTTTTTTAAATCTGAACATAGTTGCGCTCAGGTGCGATGCGACAGCACTCTCTTGTGTGGTAAAACGACCTTCAAGCCGTGCGATGCAACCGGTATCGGATTATCATCGTTAAACTAGCCCAAACACAGCCCCCGGCTTGAAAGGTCTCCTTTCAATAGGAGAAATTAGCTAAAATTAAGTTTATCTAGTCTAAAGCTACGCTAAGCTAAAGGAACTGCTCTCACAAAAGAGCAATCCAGAAGATAAATATAAATTATTTATTGATTAGGCAGAGGACATAGCCTCACTACCGGACGCTTGAGTGTACCAGATTTGGTTTTCACCAAGGCGACCCGAATATTTCCGTCTTTGCCAGCATATGTTTCCTGAATCCGACCTATTAACCAGTGTAATGGAGGAGCATTATCCTGTTTAATTAGCACGATTGTGCCTACTTTTAAAGAAGGTGAACTTGACGTCCATCTTCCGCGCACTTGTAAAGTGTGAAGGTACTCAGCACTCCACCGACGCCAATAAGACTGTACTAACTTATCTAATAAGGAATAGCGAGACAACAGATGCTTACTCGTTTCCGTTACTTCCGGTGCAGGAAACGACCGCAAAGGTACTGAATTCAAAAAGTGTGCTGGTGTAAGCGGTACAGGTTCGGTAGGATCAGAACTAATACCTACACATAAAGGCCTACTATTTAAAACGGCTTCTATTTGACAGAGGACGGTTAATAGTTCCTCATACGTAAGGATTTGAGCACCAATTACTCGAAATAAATGTGTCTTAAAAGACTTTATTAATGACTCCCAGCCTCCTCCGAAATGGGGAGCGGAAGGCGGAATCATCTGCCATGTAATACGATTGGCGGCTAATTCTTCCTGAAAACTCTTTACTACTGAGGGAGATTCTAAAAAAGAATATAATTCGCGGAGATAAGTACGCGCACCTATGAAATTCGTCCCATTGTCCGAGTAAAGTTTTTCTACCGGACCTCGACGCGAAATAAAGCGCTTAAAAGCATTTAGAAACGACTCTGTAGTAAGATCTGGAGCAACTTCTACATGTACAGCTCTCGTCGATAAACAGATAAAAACACACAGGTATGCCTTTTGCGATTGAATACCGCGTTTACGTGTTAACGTTATATTTAACGGCCCACCATAATCTACTCCAGTATGTGAAAATGGTTTAGAAATTTGTAATCTACAATCGGGCAAGTTAGACATAATGGGTGGAACCGCTTCTCGAGGACGTGCTTTGAAGCAAAAATTGCACGCATGAACTCGAGAACGTACTATACGCCGACCGGATAAAATCCAGTATCGCTGACGTAAGATGGATAACAACAAATTAGGTCCCGTGTGACAATTTTTACGATGTGCATCATCTATGATTAGTTCTACGACATGATCCTTACGAGGTAGCAAGATAGGATGCTTATGATCAAACGTCAAATCTGCATTCGCTAATCGTCCACCCACTCGCAGAACGTCATCAACTAGTATCGGTCGAAGATTTCGTATAACCGAAGAACAAATACGACCTTCCTTAACAGCTTTGATCTCGCTTGCAAAATAAACCATTT